AGAAGAAAGTAATAGACAAAATTAAGATGAATAGACGAAACGTTCTTTGGTTTTATTTTTATCACGTATTTCCTGTCGGGCCCTTGCTGCACCGGGGCTTCTTAAGTATGATATAGTAATGTACAGAATTTGTGATTTCTTATGTAAATAGCACGCAGTAGTGGGCTGAGTCAACAGTTCTATAGTTCTCTTCATTCTCCTTCGCTTTGTAAGTGTATTCATTTTCTAATTCTTTTTCTTTCATCTTCGATTTATTTTTTTCTTGTTTCTTATTTTTCTTCATTTCTTAGACTTTTCTTTTCTTTTTTAGTCCCCGGTGACCCAGCTATTATTAATGTCGCATTACGATTGCAGGCGTCTGCAAAAAAGGAAGGTGTAACGAATAAAGGTCAGGCGGGTTGTGTCAAGTAGACTGACAGCGATTCAGCGTGTTTAGATTGTACAGATGTAGGCGATGTCGGCATTTCATAATCATGAAGTATTTTATTCTTCTTTACGTCTTTGCTCCTAAGAACTTTCCTCACTATAAAGTTGTATTGCGATAACGTTCAGGCATCGATATTGCGACTGCAAACGTGTGAAGTTCTATTATCATTAACGTTGAATCTAAATTCCATTCTGGAACCCTTTCGTCCAGTTACAATTTGGGCTTTCATTATAAAACAAGGTTATTTTTATTTACAATGTCAATCACCTACGGAAATTAATCGCTACCAATTCGATGCCCGAATATTCTTCGAGATGATTTTTAAAGCCGCATGATTCGTGAAGTAAAAGCAGTTTCATACAAAATTATTAATGGGGAATTATTTTAATGCATTGTTTTTTTGCAAATTGATGTTTTATTTTACTTCATCGATATTTAGTTTAGTTTACTTTTATTTAGTAAAAAAAAAGTAAAAACTGTGTGACTCATGGGGGGGGGGGAGATTATCTGCGCACGTTTTCTTGAGTTCCAGAATCCCTTTCCGTCATTTTAACTATAAATAGTTCAAAAATGAGTAAAAGTTTATTATAAATCAATAAAAATAAATTTTGAAATAGCAAGATTAGCAATATTTGAAAAAATTGACATTTTCGTTTCCGAGTTATAGAAAGGGGCCATCTCTGTATTTGCTCAATGGATCAGGGAAACTGGACAAAAACCTGATCGAGATGGGGGTCATTGACCCGGAAGCTGAAGTACATTATTTGTTGCAAACATATTAAGTCTTTAAAAAAATGTACAATACAAATGTAAACCAATTCATTATATATCACTGATTTGTTAAAATAAGCATTATATTTCTTTTTGATAATCAGTATAGTCTTTAATTGTATAGAAACAGTTATGCAGCAGAAAATGTTTTACTTATATCTTAAATTTGTGAACCGACTTCAATTGTTTAATGTCATCTGGCAATGCGTTGTAAACTAGCGTACATGTATTGTATGTGAATTTCTGATAGTGAGCTCTTGATACTGACACTTGATGAACGTGATTTTTACGACGGGTGTTGTAATTATAAATATCAGTATTGCATGAAAAATGTTAATTTTGTGATGCTTGATGAGAGCAGTTAGTAATCATAATAATTGCCTTATTACTGTGTAGTGTTCTTTCACATCGTTCTCTTGAAAAAAAAGGCAAAACGTTGTAAGTGATTAGATAATGTGAATATTTGGTCATTCCATTATAAATTAGTGGGTAAGTTGTTTGCTTCCTGATAATTTCGCATTTAATGTCAGTCTGTATTAAGACTCGGAGGAATACACGTTTCACTAAAATGGACTACAGGATTGCGTAAATTCCAAATGAAATGTTATTTTTCTTCTTACGTAAGCACATTTGCGCCTTAACCTCTGTTGCGTCTACTTTAATTACTCGCATACGCCACCCACCATCAGGACATACATCAGCAATACTTCACACACTAACGCGTTACGCATGTGACATAACACACGCCCAGCAAGGGAAGTTATAGTATTTTTGAAACAGAAATGTGTGTGCATAAGTAAACTTCTGTCGTCACACCATTATATCTGAGGCAACTGTATTTTAGCTTAATGTAGTTAAGCTCTGCTGTGTTATCTTTCTGTGCATATATTTTCGTAGTTATGGATGAAAAATACTTGCAAAAGAAGTATCGAGTTATCTTGAAAATGCTACACTTTAATATCTTTAAGGATATTATCCTTGCAAATAATGAGTAAAAGTATTTACATATGATCTCGCATAGTGTTATTCAATTTTGCAGTTTGTCAACTTCCATAATTGACGGACTTATATCCGAGATTCAGGTTGCTGTAACCGCGTCTTATGCTTATTTGTAATGTAAGTGAAACGGGACAAGTGACTTAACTTCACTTCAACCAAGAATTCACTATATATCCGGAGTCGACTGTATTTGCAAATTGGCATTAAAAATTATAGAGTAAATATTATTCACTGGCACTTTACTTGGCCATATGTTGTAAAATACGTATGCTTTTAAAGTGATAAGTGAAATTTCATTGGATGTAAGTGTAATTTAAATATCTGGATGAACGCCACTATGTAAACGATGTTTTCAGTTTTTTATTTGTATTTAGGCAAAAGAGCGTTCGTACGTACCTCTAAACATGCAGTTTGCGATGTCCTCATAATCGAGCTCATTGACTCCTTTGTTATACCGACACACTAGTTTTACGGTTTACGAATTCACAAAACGCAAATGTCAAAAAATTTCCCCAACAAAACGTCAAGAGATATCGACGAAATAGTATTTCAAAATCAGGTTGGGAACAAGAAAACTTTTTAGTTTTCGTTTATATAAAGAAGACAGGGAAGGATATAGATCTATCATCTGCAAGGATGGCCTGTCGCGGTCTTATTGTGAGCATTAATGAAATTTTGGTTTTACATCGCTAAGACGTGAAAAATGCGTTAATAGAAGAGGAGGGAACGAAGTAAGTTAGGTGAAATAATTAATTGCCGTTGTGGAAATGTATATGGCGTAGGAAATATAATGAAAAATGCATATTGGTCGGTCGAACACGGAAGAGAAACGTCCTTCCGATTTTTAATTGTCGTTTGTGATAATTGTTTTCAACTTGTAGGGATGCGACATCGCCGTGTTTCTATACATCGATGTCCAAAATTAAAACTTCAATATTTACAAAACATCGACCTCAAATCATCGATGATATTAAACATTGATGTTTTTGAAAAGTGGATTAGTAATCATTGAAGTTCACACAGGAAGGGGGCGGATGTAATTTGAAAATGGTATAGTCTATTAATTTTTAATGCAGATTTAACGGACAAAATTAAGGCAAGAAATCATCAAGACTATTAACAAAACATGGATTATCTGATTTGATTATTCAGAAATATTAGAGTCTTCTTTATTGACGAAAACTAGATATAATGTATTTTTAATCCTTGACCACGTTGGTCTGAACAATATTTAATTTATGGATACCTGAAAATTATTATAAAATTAAATTTATAAAAACGTGGAAGTTCGGAAACATTGCCATTGACGTCCCATCCGTACTCGTATGGTTGCAGAACTTTCTTTATCCTAACGCTGCGTAAACGCAACGCATTGTTCATTATTTTATTTCGCGTACAACCGCTACTGCAGTTTGCTATCTGCGACGAAACTGAAAGTGCTCCGTTTTTAAACTTTCGTTCTCTCTCAGCAAATAATAGGTTAATAACATAGCTGAAAATAGTTGTTACTCCGTTCAGTAACATTGGGTAGTGTTTTGTGCATTCTTTACTCAGTTATAAATGTTTCTGAATTATAAAACTTACAAAGTGGGAGACACTAAAGTGTTCCACTGTCAATGCTTAGAGACAACTGATTGTTTGGTAACTCACCAGATAATAAATTGTTTCCGAGTGATCCATTAGTTGCTGTTTTCGGACACGTTAAATGCTGCGGGGTTTCTTCTTCTAGCTATCTCCCCACAGTGAGGCACCGCCCCAGCCAGGACAAGCTCTAAGCTTGAGAGGTCTCCCAACATGTGTGGTAGTGTAGCGCGTACGTTTGTGTATGTGCGAAGAGAGGAGGGGATAAGGATGAGGAAGGAAATATTGCGCGATCGGTGGCTCTTTGTTTTTAGGTATTTACATTCGACTGGTGTTGATCGGACAAACCAGAGGAAACTTTCTCTCAGAGCGGTCGGCCGCTAGAATTCTTCTCCAGGCAGTGGTTGAATCTGACCTGAAAATCTGCTACCTCCGGGTCTCGAACCCTAGGACTCCCTAGGCAGCAATGTTGACATTCAGCCATATCAGTCGTTCTTTTTGAGTGCTTGTGTGTTTGTCACTGTGGTATCAGTGTCTCGTACGGATTGATCTATGAGCGATGACTTCGTTTGAGTAGGTAATTATCCATACTATAACGGGAACACAGTAAACGGAAAGTATTTAATCCCACGATTCTAAACCCCCAAATAATTAAAAATGTGCGAGATTAAATAATTTAAAAAAATGTTGTTCTCTGGTGGCATATTACTGGGACTTTTGGTAGGCGAGTGTATGCTCACGGACGATCTGACACAGACGCTAGAGGCGGACAGAAGGAATGTATCGTTCTCGCTGGCGTGCTTACGCAGTGTCAGAGGCCGAGCCTGTAACATGTGTAGGAAGTTCTCTATCGTGGATCGGATGTACCGCTCATTCGCGGCTGTTGTCGGAGAAACGCTGGAGCGTACTTTGTGCACAATTTTCTGGTAGTTTGTTTGCTTCTCTTGAGAGGAGGTTCATACATTCTCTTACAGAGTATAATTTAATACATTATTTCTTCTTCTTCTTCTTCTTCTTCTTCTTCTTCTTCTTCTTCTTCTTCTTCTTCTTCTTCTTCTTGCTTTTCCCAGCCGATAGCCGGTTACTCTTTGCGTCCCGGTGGGATGCATATTTGACCATACGCTAGACATTATCACACTTTACGGGCTCCTTTGATCTGTGGTTAGCAGAACGCGAGGCCATCCGCGACAATTCATATATGAGAGACAAGGGACAAACCACCATGGCCAAAGTGGGACTCGACCCCGCGACCCTTCAGAGCGAAGCGCTGAGTTGGTACACGCTCTAGCCACCTCGGCCATCCAGGGCGGTCCTTTAAGTAATTTTAACATTAAAAATAATTAAAAACATAATTTTTAAATTATTCTGTACCTGTCTGCTCCTAGTGTTTTAATTGCACGAGTATTGTGAGGTTTCCAAGGTGCCTCGAGCGATCGAATTTTAATTTCATTTTTATTTGAGTGTATACCATATGAGTTTGTATGCACACTTCGGTTACCATCTCCTTGAAAGTGATATACATAATGGGTTACAGATATTTAATAGAAACGCTTGAGTGATATACGGTGTCTAGAGTTTCTGTGACGCCTCCCGCATTCATTATCCACAAGTTACCTTTTCGTCCGCTGACGGGAAGGTGGCACTCACATAACATGCCCAATATAGGTTGATTGATCGGTTAGTGATCAACAGCTAAGGTTCAACGCACTTACGTAAGTTTACTAGTTCTAATTCACGTAAGTGTAGAGCATGTTTTCATTACGGGAGATGGTTCTCTTCCCTCGCTCGCTGGCGAGATTCGGCGCCAACTTACATCGGCTTGCGGGGATTTTCCCCAACCAAGCATCTCCCACCAGCCGACAAGAACGATAGTGTAGTGCGTGTGAGTGTGTGTGTGTGTGTGTGTGTGTGTGTGTGTGTGTGTAAGGCATGAAAATACAAGGAAGCCCCGTGGCCGTTTGTTAGGACACATCTTTGCTATTCGCCTGGATTTTGATCGGAGAAACCGCGTAAAACTATCGATCAGAGCAGCCGACCGCTAGACCCTGGTGTAATGCTTGGTTTTTATCACGTGAGGTGGAAGTGTTCCTCCCTAGCGGGATCGTGAAATCTAGCGCCGACTTAGGTGTGAGTTGTCGGGGTGTGAGGTAAGTGGTGAGGATCAGGCAAGGATGGGGTGGGAAAAATCTCTCGCAACCCATGGCCCATTTGTAAGGGTTGTGCTCCGAAATTCAACTATTGAAACCATGCAAAACTACCGATCAGAGCAACTGTCCGATAGGACTTCTCCTCCAGACAGCGGCTGAAATCAATCTAGCTGTCTAGCTAGTGCCGAAAATCTTGCCAGCGTCGGGACTTGAACCCAGGAGATTCCAGTCCGAGACACTGCAGTGACATCAGTTGATGCCCTGATTTTTCTTGTTTCGCATAATTGCAAGTTATATCGTGGCGTCTTTGGTGTTAGGACAATTTTGGCGTCTTATGTGTTGAAATCTCTACAACATTAAGAATAATGATAAAAACAAGTTTAAAAACACAACTATACCGTTCTAACGTAGTCGATAAGGCTGGCTTCAGCAAACTTAGCCATCAAGTTCAAATTACAGCTTTAGTATTTTATGTGTGCGTGCGTGCGTTTCCGTCAGAACCTGGATATGGATTTTTTAGCACTATTTTACATAATTATCTCTGTACTACGTAAACGAGGAAGTATTTTGTCATCTGTTTCATCAAAATTGACTGGAAAGTTTCTTGACTAAAATAAACAATTAATTAAGAATAATATTACCTATATGAGAGTTTTAGCTAGACGGAAAATCCATTGTCGTAGTTCATAATCTTTGTCGTCAATAGGAAATAACGTATCTGAAAAAAATACGTTTTTAGAGCTTTAGAGAAAAATGAGTGAGAGGTAAAAAATTCTTTATTTTTTGGACTATTAATTCTTCTACCATCATTCTTTTAGCGGCGTAATGAAAACTAGAATATTTGTATTATCACTAATAATTCTTCAATGCCGGTTTGAAGCCTATCAAAGGTTACAATTACATTTTGAAGTATACTGGTCATTTCTAGATTCCGAGGCAAAAACTATTGCTACAAAATTTTACTTTGCATGGCAGTATACGTGGTGTGAAGAAAGTAATATAATTTACCAAAAAATCAATGATAAGATTTTAACGGAAATACACGATTTGTTGAAACAAAGATTTGGGCGCTGGTGTTATCGAAGAAGTGGATTTTCAAATGAGTTCGCCCGTCCCTCTGTGGACAACACCAGCGCCCAAACTGTTCGCAGGAGTTTTTCAAAAATGGATTTTTTCGGTAGATCTGGCCACATATGAGGCCCCACTTTTTTCCTGCAAAATGTGAGTACTGTTTACGTACTTTTGAGTCAAATAGTGACAGTTTTCCAAAAATTTCTAAACAAGATTTTCTCAAAAACTGTTACGAATTTTTCATCAAGAAGTTTCGCGAAATCTCAAAAGTTTTCCGGTGGAAATATTTCATAGGCCCGAAATCAGTAACCATATAATATGGGTACTTGTGATAGTTTTAATTGTAGTTTACAATTCGAAAGGATGGCGGTTTGAGAACCATAGCTGGTAAACTATTTCCTTAAACAGTTTGTATGAATAGAGCACAATTCATTGAATTCGATGTCAGACAATATTTTCATTAAAAAAGGAAAATTATTCTGGCCATTAATGAGACGAACAGTTTCTTGAATATACTATTGCATTTAAAAATGCATTTATGATTATTTCTAAAAAGCGACGTTTCGATGCTCCATTTGCCCCATCATCAGGCTTATTATATATTATACAAAATTCAAATTAAGACTCAAATTTAGGAAAATTTCTTTGTCAGTCTTCAAAGGGTATAAGAAATCAAAAGACAGCCGCCATTACGGAGACAGCTGGCGTGGCGTTAGTAATTTTCCTTGATAATAGAAAATGACGGACACGAATTTTAATAATTTTCATTAAAACCTTTGAATTCACACAAATTAGATACGAGTATATAATTTTTTGCGCTTACCTTGATTAAAAGGGCTTTTAATCGTTTGCCGAAGTATTTGTAGGTTACTAGTTCCAATATTAAAACTGTAACAAATTATGTAACTGTTACAAAAAATACGTGAAGTGTGTGCTGTTGTTGGAACCACTGATTTAAGCGGTGTTTCCTTAAGCATCCTGCGAAACAATACCTCTGTTCTAGCGAAGTACACGCCGCACTGCAAGTTGTGTCAATTCAATGGCTCAGACTCTCTCGTACTAGTTAGGTTTCTAATTTCTTCGGTCCGGGTAGTCTTTCAGTCTTGCCCCATCCTCTTGACAGCTGTCATCTATCGCCGTACAAAGTACATTTGTGTAAGAAACAATTCCCAAATTTTCTGTGGCCTAATGGTAGATCCGAAATATTACTTTAAGAATATTTTAGAAGAGTAAAACCTCGTCTTATGGAAATCATCGTTGCAAAATTTGCAGCGGTTTTTAAGAAAATGTCGTTTAAGCGTAATTGTAAATGCGAAATTTGGAGCTTTTATTCACAGAAAAAAAATTGAGTTGCCAAAAAACGTTATTGGTAGTCATTTGAAGCATTTCTACTCACAAATGCAATAATGTATACGAATCGCTGTAAATGAGCATATTAACGGTGTGAGAGTTATTAAAAAACAGTTTGTGTAATTAAAAAAAAGCAAAATAGCTTTTACGTCATCTTTTACAGTGAATTTAGTACTATCCGTACAAAAACTTTGAAGAAAAAATTGGAAGAGTTTTTGAGAAAATGGCAATTTTCCAAAACTCAGAAGTAACTAACTGTTAATAATGGACTTATGCCATTTTTGTAAGTGTACTCTATTCTTACAAAAAAATTAAAGAAAAAAATTGGAGCCATATTTGAGAAAATTAGGTATCTGATGCCTGGAAATGATGATTTATTTTTGTATCATTAGATCAGTGCTATATACTACTTAATAAACCAGTGAAAACAATCTCAATGTAAATCATGCTTATCGGTCGATGCATGCGTGTACTACAGTAATTACAGTTATGGTATGTTAAGCCGTGGCACCTAAAATATAGAGTGAACATGGAAGTAAGACTGCCCCATCACGGGAATTTACTGCACACAATTATCATTTCATTTTTATTGACTTATTGTAGTTAACAAGGTGCACGTGGGGGAGTAAAAAATGTTATGTTCCTACTATTCACGAATCAATAATACAATCTGCTTATAAAATAATGCAACAAACTACTAGAAAATGATGCAAGTCATGGAGAGCGAAGGCTGTAATGGTAATGGTTCGAAGCAATGTGCCTATTGGTCTTCTTTGTTAGATAGGAAAATATGTTTGTTGGGATTGTTCTACATCCGCCCTCGTAGGGAGCATCTTGACATAATTACTTTCCCCAATGCATTTTTGGTTTGTGATTAACGAAAACGAGTAAACTTTTGCATTATTTGTAACGGTTACATAATACGTATTATAATACTACTTGAACCCATAAAAGTGTTTCTAACTCGCAAAAATGTGTGAACATGCTGAGTAATTAGCTTTAGCGACAACCTTCTCTAATCTTAAAAAAGGTTGAATACCTGCAGTATTCACAAATTCAGAGATTTTAATACAAATTGTAAATGATCGAGAGAAAAAGAAATAAAGAGTTTTTAGAGTTCAGAAAATTTGATTCCGTAATTTTTAAAGGCTGTCTCTGTTTCGTTGAACATTAGAAAAAAATCATTATAAAAAAGTAGAAAACATTGATTAAAGATCTAATTTAAAAGAACAGATTGTCTTAAGAAAAATATATCTCCTTTGAATATTGCATTTGTTGGAAGGGGTGAAAAATTATTTAACTTTTAAAATTTTAGAAAATACGGAGAGTTTAATGAAGACCTGATCAATTTTTGTAAGAGCACTTTGCTCTATCCTAGAGAAAAAAACAGAAAAAATTGGTGCTGTTTGTGAGAAAATATTGTTGTAATTGCCTTTATTTCAACCGATACATGTAAAAAGAACGACTACTGAATACGACTTTATTTAAAGATATCTAATTTTAAATAACTGGTTGAGTAAGAAAAGTATCTCTATCTTGAATATTATAATTTTGGAAAGACACCGAAAAATTATAAACTTTTGCAAGTTCAGAAAATTTGGATAGTGCAACGAAAATCAGACTGTCATTTTTACCAGTGTTCTTTGCACCATTTGAGAAAAAATTAGTAAACTTAGGAAAATGTGTTGAGGCTTAATGTAAAGTATCATCAAAAATCCATATAGCGGTATCAAATTCAAGGGGCCGCAACATCAGCCAGCTCAATCGGAAAATATCAGTTTGGTGAAAATCCTACCTATGAAGATGGGCCGCTAGCATTGTTAACGTACGGACAGACATGCATAGACCTAAACGAATTTTTTTGCATCAGGGACCCACATAACGTAGATTCTGACAACATAACATATTAGAGGAAGTAATTTACTACATATAGGAACAAGAATTATCCACACGTTTATCAGGAACATATAATACGACTTTTCTTTAACTTTTCCTGCCGATAAAAATAGCCTTTTTCGACGCAGCAATGTGTTTACATTAGGTATGTAATAAGCAGAAGGTAAAAACTAAATAAATAAATAGACAATACAAAAAACTACTGTGTGTGTTCGAAAACCTTGGGCTAATACAATAATTATCAATGACCGTATTTTAAAGGGAATTCCCTTTTTGTAAATTGGCAAGAGAAAATTTAATAATAGTATGTTCTAGCCACAAAATAATTTTTACTTCTTTTTTTCCTTTTTAGCGGCATTTCGCTGTGATTCCTTTTTTTTACTTTTGACTTTTTTGTTTAAGAAAAAAGTAGGAAATTTGAAAAACATTTCAAAAATTAAAGTACAAGATCTCTCGCTTATTTGCCACGTGTAAATAGATAATTTTCTAAGAATTGAAATGCAGAGGAGAAATTTATCAACCATGTAAGAAGGGAAGAGGTAGCTATTTCATTATTTGATCTCTCATGCTTTATCGCTATTGCTAACTTTAACAAGAAATTCAACATTCCGCTCCTCGTGCGTCTCAGTGCTTCTGTGCAACTTCGGACTCAATGCAAATTGTGGGAAAAGCCGCTTTAACGACGGATGAGAGGGCAATTATGTGTACGTGTAATAATTGTAGTTCCTTGTACTAGTGTATTTCTAAGTTTACCGAAAATTATTTTTGAATAATTTCATTGGCGTTTGTGATAGCACCTATTTCATAGCTCTATTAGTGAAATGGCGAAGTAGTGCCGAAACAGCAGCTAGCTTAAGTCTGTGATGAGAAATTTTAGGATGATTTTTAATCCAAACTGACGGGACGATTATTCGCTGTTCATTAATCCAATGATGCAAAATCGGTAGCTGCTGCACAAACGAAAGTTTTATTGTAGAATACAAAATTAGAATCTGTATTGTACGCAGTGTACACTGTCACATTTCTTACGGACGCCATCGCCTTACTTCAAGAGGAATGTTTCTCGAAGGAATCTGAGTGGAATATGATAGAATACGTTTTCAGCACGCGTGAGCAAAAAATAAACTGAGGCAAAGATGATCCAATAATCCAAATGTAGAAAAACCGATAGAAAACAAATTTAGAATCAGAACCCAATTTTCCCCACTCCTTTCTGTTGACATTGAAAGATATATTTTTATTACAATAATATTTTGCAGTCGAAGTGACAGAACCGAACTTTCGGACATTGTGAAATGTTAAATATGGTTTAGTTTAACTCCTTCTTAATAAATTAATATGAAAATGGAACTCGCTTATTTCTTTTCTCTTTCTCTTCATACTAAAGAAACCACGGAAAACTACCGACCAGAGCAGCTGGCGCTAGAGTTCTCCACCAGATAACGGCTGTATTCTACCTAACTCTTTTGCTAGTGTGGAAAATCCTGCCACCGTCTGGGACTCGCACCCTAGGACCTTCCGGTCAGAGGCTCCGCAGTGACATCAGTTGATGCCCTGAACCCCTTAGACAGTTACATTGATGATAGAAATCTTTTTCCATTATGAAATCTGCTCTAAATTCTTGAAAGTTGCAAATACTCAACTTTTGTTTAAAGCATGGGCAATGTTCAGTATAACCGTGAGACTGATGGTGTAGGGGTAACGTAAATGGTGTGCTGTTTTTTAACCTGAGTTCGAATCTCAGCTTGGAAAAAAATAACTGTTGATTAAAAACACTCGAAGATTCATGTAGAATAATATTGCGTATCCGTTATAAATAATTCAACAAAATATGTGGCGTTGTAGCACCACTAGTTTTATGTTTAGAGGCCCTTGTAATATCCATTTTCACATTATTGTTCTCCCGTATTTGGCCCTTTTAGACTAAATACATTCTCTTCAGAATTCGGTCTCTGGTAATCACTTTGCTTTCTTCTTTTATAGTATTTCCCTTACTCTTGAATAATAGAATACTACGATCTCAGTGAAAAATCCCGTGTTCAGAAATTGAATATTGTAATTGATCCATGCATTTTATACGTTCTTCAAAATATTAGGTTCTAATTAATTTTGTAAGTGCAAAAGTCTAAATTTTATTTTATGAAAACCTAGTACTCGTGATTATGACTTATATTGGTTTGTAAAGAAATACAGGAGTGAATTCGTGATGATCACACGAATTTGTGAATTTGGCCGGATAGTGCGCAGAAAAGGAACGCGTTTCACAAGCGCCCTTTCGTTGTCGCTTTATCGTGGTGATAACCAAGAATGTAATTGACCCCCGTTTTCTTTCCATGTATGTGGCAGTGTGTTCATTCTGCCAATTGAGTCTGTGCATCTTCATGTAGATTGCGAAACTTGAGGGATCGTCTGCAGCGAGCAACGCGTCCCGACGCGCGTTTATCAGCGAGATGGAAATTCCGAAAGGAAGTAGTCCCCTGCGGCAGACGAGACCGGAAATGGCAGTGACGTCACCATGGGTTATCGCCACAGTTTCTCCTTAATTTTGTTTCTCGACGTATACACTTCGTATGAATTTCCTGTGTTGGGTTTGTGTTACGTGACTTTTCCTCGCTTGTACGTGAGGTCACTCACAATTTAGATAACCGGATTTCTTGATTTTGATTTTGAGAAGTGTGGTTCGTTTGGAGCAGTGGATGGGATAAGGTTTTGTAGAATTTGAGATAGTATGTTTTTTAAATTGCCTTTTCCAATCTCCTTGTGGCAAGTCATGCTACTATCCTCCTATGATCTCAAATTACTTTTTCATCTCTATACAATAATGCAACATTTTATGCATAAATAATCCTACATATGAACATTATATCAATAAAACTCTATTTAATTAAAGTTAATTTTGCTGCCGTGAAAATTATGTATATTTTCTGTCAAGTATTGAGAGAATGTTGGTGCCTCACTATGGGATGCTTTAAAAGCAGTATTCGATCATTTTGTTTGAACCAGCGTTAAAGAAGCGTCGTTTTTCTGTACTCACTATGAACATTTTCCTTTATTATAATGCACATTATCTTCGTTTTTTTAAATCTTTTTCTGATATAAGTGTCTTTACACAGGGGCAGACTATTTTCGACTCGTTTGTTTCGTTTATACGAAAATTTAAACATTACATTCGACGATAAATATACTCTTCTTGTTAACTTCATCGTGTGTAATAGAAAAAAAACATTATCTTATGGATAAACTATCACATTATCGTTAAATATAATAAATTTGCATTTATTGTGAATGAGTTGCTTCTGATGGTGTAGAAATAAATTATTACAATATGAATTGCATGATTTATTTCAGTGTTTACGGAAGCTGACGACATGAAATGGAAATTATTAATCAAAACTGATTTTTAATGATAAAATTCTAAAAAAGCCAACATGTTTTTCTATTGGTGCTTATATTCTGTTCTTCTAAATGGTTTTTCTCTTGTGGGGTGCAGGCATGAAATGACCACGTCTTGCCGAACAAGCGGCGAGAAAGCGTTGTGGCCGCTGGGCACCACCTGAGCGGTGCTTAGCACGATGACTTAGCTTCCTCCAAGCGATGGACCCTGCGTCTTCGACACCACTTCCCAATGCGAGAGCCCGCTCTTCGTAAGAAACGTAAGTACGCGCTACTCTCCGCGTCATATCCTGTAAATGTCCATGTCCACGCTCTCTGCGATGATAATGTTCATGTTCAGTAAATTTGTAAACTTTTCGGTGTATTGAAATATTATATTTTCTGTTTTATACTTTCCCATCCGGTTGATATTCGAAGTCTATAGAACAGTTTATGATCGAATGCTGGAATGATATTTGAAAAGATGGCGGGTATCTTAATTATGTCTGCGCTCACCGTTTTTTTTATCGACGTGATGCCAATTCAGTGCCGTCGACTGCAGTTTTTTTGTAACTACTCGTACCTTTGTGTTTTCATGTCGTTAGCATTTTTAAATTGTTGCAAAAAACAATCCTTAAAAATTAAAAGTCCTTATTGTGTACGTCCTGTTCATAATAAATAAATAACTGATCATAAATAACTTAATCTTGTCATCATGAATTACTAATGTTAAGTTTTCAATTCATTAGATCTTTCTAATTATTTGTCCTTGGGGCCACATAAAGTATTCCTTGAAGACACATTCAAATATATAACAAAATATCATTATTTAGTGGTTTGCTTATTCAGTTTGCAAATGATGTTGCTTCAACCGGCTTGACTATTTTGCTACACCTTAGATCCAAAATGTATTAAACATAAAAAAATAATTAATCATAATTATAAATAATTACAAATGGCAAGAAATGAAAATCGTATCTATGCAATTCTTCAACACATGATTTCTGCCTTCAAGGTTAGTGTAGAAATATATTTTTTATAAAATATTATCCTTTCTGGTAACGCTTTGCTTATGCTTTTGAATCAATTGCATGAGATATTTTCGTTTATTTTCTAGAAGAATCCCGCAAAACATCCGTCAGTCTTCTTCAGTCGTACAATATCACGTGGTCACTTTTGGGAGCTAATGGTGAAGTGATCTAGGTTATATCCGGTCAGTAATAGCAGTTTATATAATTAGTTTATAGTGTTAAGCTGTATTGCATGAGTACACATTTTGAAAACGAGCGACGTTAGGAGTGAGTTTTCAAATTTATACGAATGCAATAAAGCAACATTAAAAACGAGTTGCGTCCGCTATTTTTGTGTATAACCGCATAAATTTATAAGAGAATCAAACTTAAACCTGCGAAATACCTTTCTTGTGGCGTCTCGGCTATTTGACATCTGTGCGAGAAAACGGTGGTCGACTGTTCCGTTCACCGCTACCGCCCCACAATTATCTCGCTGCGATTGGGTGAATGTGTGATGGCGTAATCATTCGTGCTGTAAAGTGCCCTTTTATGAACGATTTTTTTGCAACAGAAAAGGTCTTTTATAATGCTGCTATACAAAAAAGTAATTTAAGTATATTTACTTCGAATTTTAATCAACGATTAATGTTTTCATTGTTAATAAAGAAATTAATAAATAACTGCGTTACTTGTAAAGCCATAAAGTTTAACATTTGTATTAACGTGTACGAAAATATAACAAAATTTGCACAAAAGTTACTATAATCAAATAATACTGGATCATATGTATGCACTTCCTGTTCAGTGTTATCGCTTGGTGATGTCTAATATATGTCTGAAGATACTATTGACAGCTTTGGCTGGATTCTTGGTATGGATTTAATAAGCAGTGTTACAGCATCTGTTATTTTTCGAATATAATTAATCCGCCCCGTTTTCGGGAATGACGTCCTGTGCTGCCGAGGGGTAATGCCTCCTATAAAGGAAATTTCTTCATAGATGCTGAGCAGTGCTCTTTCCGCCCTAGAAACTCGCGGCGACGCCGCTTTCTCCAGTTTGAAAGTCGCGCTCTGGAGCACCGTCTACGTCCAGGGACTCACGCCCCCACCTCCGTCGGCGCTCGCCCCCTCCCCTCTCCTTGTATACCTCCGTCTCCCCCTCGTCCTCCTCCTCCACCGCCTCCAACTCAACCTTCGCCTCCACGACCGCCTCCTCCTCCATCGCCCCCGGGCTGTCGTGCGGGTTCGAGCGCTCGGTCTTCCCGCCCCGCGGCGGTGGCGGAGGTGTGTCCGCGCCAGGCGCATGCGCGGCCGCTGCGAGCCAATCGGGGGCCGCCGACTCCACCACGTCACAACGTGTTGAGCGGGTCGGCTGATGTAACGCGGCGAGCAGGTCGCGAATCAGCCGGAGGTTCAGTTACGATACGCTAGGCGCCGACGGCGGACGAGGAGCTAGCGCGCGCTGCTTGCACGGCCCCCCGCGGCGAGCCACGATTACTCTGCTCTGCTCACTGCGTTTCGTCTTTTCCACAGGCATGAGCGGTCTGATCGCACCATGAAGCGATGACTTCCACCGCACGCTGTGAATCCACGAAGAATTGCAAAGTTTTTTCTCGTTAAGGTGTTAACTGCTCAGGACAGACTCAACTGGGGACTTTTAGTCGTTCTGTGTTGACATTTTAAAGTGCCTCCACTCATCATTCTCGGAACTTGTCGAAAGCGTTCGGGAAAATCTTGGACATGGATCCGTGGATGATAGGATTTTACATTGTGTCCGTGCTGGTGGTCGTAAATACAGAAAAATTACCTCCTCCGTGCGAAAGGTGAGTTGTTCCCATTTTTTTAATTGGCGTGTTTGTTCTGCTTAATTCACTTGTCCTTAAATCAGTCTGAATGCAAGCTTAGTCGCTATTTTATTGAGTTGCGTATTTTATTGAGTTGCTTCTATCATGTAGGTTAATTGCTTCTTTTATTGCTACAACACATGCTTATTGTTGATGCGAGAGTGATTACATCCACATGTCATCAAGAGCCACACATTTTCAATCTTTCCTTTGATGTATCTTGTCCAGATGGTTGAAGACGTCGAATGCTTGTAAAACATGTATTGATCATTGATATTTCGGTCCTCGCTTTTTAATATCAATGTTTTGTTGAGTGAGTTACACTGCAACTACTCCATGAGCAATGGGTGGTTAGCAGGGAGTCTATAGATGGGATCTGCTAACCCCCAAATGTTGTCGGCTATTAAGCAGTGTTTCCGTGTCTGCGCCATGCTTGCAAAAACCGCAAGCAGTTTCTCCTTTTTCTCCTGGCGGTTTGTTCCCGAGCGGGCAGTCAAGGTAACCCACGTAACGCGCCTGGGAGAAGGCTGGCCGGGCAGGTGACGGGGTGAGTGGAGCGGGGCGGCTGGGCGCGACTCGACTCGACCCGACTCGGCGTGGAGGGCGCTGGATCGAGTATCTTTTGCACGGGAGGCGTTTGGCGAAGAGGGTGTAGGGGCGACTCGGGTCCACTAGAAGACGCCATGAAAGAATGACAAGAAATGGGATTGGCGGAGACTAGGAGGCGCGAATAAAAAGGGGAAGTGGAGTGGACCAGGGTTGAATGGAATCGAGGCGAAGTTGGGCAAGGGGGCTGCGTGGGTGGCCGTCCGCTGGCCGGTGTGTGTGGACGTGTGGATGCGTGCGTGCTCGCGCGCACGTGGCCGAATGGCTCCCCACGGCTCTTTCGCTCGCCGCGTCCCACTGACTGCGTTCAGCTGCGTTGCATTTCGTGCCGCCCTCGCGCCGTAGGGTGAGTGCTGCGTCAGGGTTTTGCCTCCGGAGTGGCCGGAGTGTCGTGATCATATTTGTAAGAGGTTGGCTTTACGTTATAATGAAAGACGTATTTCCTTGAATGGTATATGCTGGCTCAGAGTGATACTATGTAGGTTTGTCGAAGACCATTGTCTGTGTTCAAACATTACCATCTGGGAATGAACGTTTTTACCGATATCAATGAACATGCATTTATCCTTTTGTAAGTTACACCTTCCATTCACAGTAAATGTATTTACATTGTATACGTTCAATTTGAAACGAAACCGGTTTTTTACATTTTTGCGTGATTGTATTCATGAATACCAAATGTTGAAATTTTTTAATCAATGGTTTTCTTTTGTGAATCTCTACGGGTTTTGCAGATTCGAACTTTTATTTGTGTCATGATATATCTATCAATACACCTTATTAGTATTCACCTTAGGTGTTCATACCGGAGATTGCTCTGTTAGTATTTTTCACTTTTAATGCGTTAATGAGTGAAATTCAAGTTTCTACGAGAGTTTTGTTTATCTAAGAATCTTTCTTTGTATTTTGAAATTAAAAGATTTACTTACGTATGACCTCGATTATATATCGAGTTTTGAATTCGTTTAATTGATTCAAAATTATCGTATGAATTCCAGAAATAGTTTCAATAAAATTTCAGTACATAAAAGAAACCCTTCACTAACTTTTACGTGTTCCTTATTTCGTGCAAGCAGACCACACAAACCAAGAAAATGAAAGTTTGACATATGCCAAACTCTTTCAGTTTTATGAAAAAGTGAAAACCGAACTACACGAAATGAAAAGTATCTCTAAAACCGGCGTTTTTATTGATTTAAAGCATTCTGAAATCCTCTATTAACACTTTTCTCAAGACTTTTAATAAATCATTGACACAATTTTTAACGATGAGACAATAATATATTGTTTCCGTTTCCATAGTTTTTCTAACTACATACAAATTTTCTGTGTAATGAGTTGCTCACTGAGTTAAGGGAAATGTGTTTAAAATTATGAAACCTTTAGTAAGTGTTTAAATTTTCGAAAGATTGTCCAATCACGTGGGAATATACTCATATGAGGATGTAAAAAAGTAAGATTACACTTTTAAGATAGTCTTTCAGTGCCAGCATGTGATATAGTACAAACCGGTTTCCCGCCTGTATTCGTATATATCTGATGTTAAGAGAACTGGGTAACAAAAGTTAGAAATCAGTCAGAATTTCTGTTTGACGATGTACTTAGAATGTAGCGTTAATTCCTCGTTAGTCAGAAATTTCGGAATTCATATGCGATTGATATGCAAGTAGCAGTTGTAGAATGTGATAAAATTACAATAAACACATTTTGGCAAATTAATTGCCATTATCTCGT